GTGCTTTTTTCATGATAAAGCAAAAAATAATAGAGACAAAATGAGATACAGTAATTTGAGCAATAACATGATGATAAGCAAACTGTGAACAACAATTCAAATTCAAATGTAGTATGTTGATGGGCGAGTGGCACACATGACCGACACAACTCTGCGCCAGAGCTTCAGTGGCGCCGCCAGCTCGATAATTGGGGGGGGGCGAATATTCATATCTTCGTGTTCTGCATTATTAACTTCTTTTGAAATTGATTGTTTTTATGCTCTGTGAACACAAATATATGAATATTCCCCCCCCCCCAATTATCGAGCTGGCGGCACCACTGCAGAGCTTGCAGAGCAGCCCCCTACCAGATCATGCTGGATCGATCCCTGTATTATTTTATTTACACATGGAGGTGTATCTCTTTTGGTGGCGTAAAGGCATGTTTCTTGACACAAGTGACAATCCAAATTTTTAGATGGCTGTTTAAAATTTTAGTCAGCTGGATGGCAGGCTGGTTAATACCATACAGTAAAGCAGTAGAATAATCTTGAGCATAACATCTAACATAATACAGCAACAATATAAATTGTATAACTTTGCTTGATTTATAGTTACTGAATATATAAACACTTCTTACATTTGGTCAACTTGCACAATAGTTGCTTGAAATTTGTGTTACATGCACAGGTCAGCACTATAAGCAGTTTACTTAGCGTTTACATAGTTGTTTACATACTGTATATGTACTCAACAAATCCCCGAGATATTTCTCGCTATAGTAACATACAGCGTAAACATACAGCGTAAAAACACCGCATAGGATTGTAAATTTAAAGTTTGTTCTTTGCTGAAATATCTCAAAATTTGTGTTGACAAACCAGTTTCAATGTCATGCACGTCCACTACGTGTAACAGTAATCGACAATTCCAAGAGGCAAGAGCATCCATTATCCAGTTGAAATTTTGACATTTACCACTCCATCTGCATTCTAGAGTATTTCATTTTTTTATTTTTTTTATTTTTAAAAATTTTCCTCATGTACAATAAATTTATGTGTAGTATATTTACAATAATTGTAGACTGCGCGCTAGAGACCTACTAGAAATCTTAGTAGACTTTTTATTTAGGTCTCTAGTTATGCTAGTTTGTATTATATTATGTAATAAATTACTTACAGTCAATCACAATATTAAAGGAATATATATATATTTACAAGAGAGAAAAAGAAGAGAAATTGTTCTTATTATAGAAGTGAATATTTACAAGAGAGAAAGAGAAGAGAAATTGTTTTTATTATAGAAGTGAATACCAATATTGTAGATGCATTTGGGTTCTTATAAGAATTAGACCACAATATACTATTAAATTTGTCATATAGCAGAATGTTTTATAGCATATCTTTTTTTTTTTTTATTTAAACATATTTTATTACAGACATTTTCTCCAAGAGCATAGCTCATCAAGGGAGATTATGTCGGATTATTTACAAACTTTAGGTTACTCACATCAAGACAAAGAGGATTACATAGAAAAAAAGATTACATCAAAACAAATCGAATAATCATAGTGTGGAAGAACTTCTGGTATTCATTCTCAAGCTTTCCATGAAACATATTATTATAAGAAATTTATATGGAAGAATTTACCACACCAATGTTTTACAAACCAATGTTTTACAAAACAAGTTTCAATAAAAACAAAAAAAATAAATAAAAAAAAGTTACTCCGCCTGAAACCGTTTTGTATTTAAAATAAATAATTGGACATTTTGCATTAATTTTACATTATCTTCATGTCCAAGATTTTCCGAACCATGCAAAAGTATTTCAATTTTCCGATTCTCTGATAAATTCATCCACATAGCCATAGGATGGAGCAGCCGCGCAGGAAGTGAGAGCAATTGTTCACGTTGGGCAGCAAATCGGGAACAATATAAAAAGTAATGTTTGACAGTTTCCATTTCACCCCATCGACATACACAAAAAGGGGAATTTGCACAATTAATTCTATATAGGTGAAAATTAAGCGCACAGTGACCAAGCCTGAGCCTGGTATGGAGTATTGAGCTATATCTACTTAGTGATGCATTGTATTTTACGTTATATTTTTGTCCACAATACATATTACATAAGGTAACTTTAAAGGAAGATAGCGTCTCTATATTTCGTAAATCTGGATCAAGATCATTCCAGGCAGTTATTGCCGATGGAAAGAAAGATTTTTTAAATCGTTCAGTTCTCACAGGTATATTAGTTAAATTATCGTTAGATCTTAGAAAGTAACTGGATCTTTGGTTTACATATGAAGGCAAAAGATCACAAAGGTAGGATGGTGCAGTGTGGGTAACAATTTTATAAAAAAAGGATAGCTTATGAATATGTCTCCTGGTTTTCAAATCCTCCCAACATAGTTCTTCCAATAGACGATTTCTATTTGTTCCCCTTATTGCACCAGTAACAATGCGAGCTGATTCGTACTGAACTGCTTCTAAAAGATTTGCTTCCTCTATACTACATCCGTCCCATATTACATCTGCATATTCCATTAAGGGTCTAATTAGACTTTTATATAAGCATATCAGTGTTGACCTTTTAAGCTTATATTTAACCCTTTTTAATGCGTTCATTCTTTTACTAGCTTTTTGATGTATGCTTAGAATATGTTTTGACCAAGAGAAATTTGACGTAAATGTTAAACCTAAATGTGAATGAGAATCAACTTCGCGTAATGCAGTGCCATTTAAGTATAAGATTGGCTGAGGAAATCGGTTATGTTTCGTTGAAAATGTAATGCTTTCGCACTTAGTAGGATTCAATTCCATCAACCATTCCATACACCATTGGTTAATGCTATTGAGATCCTCGTTTAGTCTAGAATCAAAAGATGATAAATTATCAACAATTTCAAGTAAAGATGTGTCATCAGCGTAGAGAAAACAGTCAGATACAATATTGCTGGAAATATCATTTATGTATATTAGAAAAAGCAATGGCCCGAGCACTGAACCTTGTGGAACACCAGCTTCAACACTCAGCCAGCTCGAGCATTGCCCCTCAATGACAACTCTTTGTTTTCTATCAGACAAATAACTACAAAACCAGCTTAAAAGTGGGTCTTTTACTCCAAGAGATTTTAATTTATACAATAAACCTTTATGCCATACTTTATCAAACACTTTGCTAAAATCTAAAAACACCATACGGACTTCTTTACCCATTTCTAGAGCTTCATAGATCTTATGAACTATATACGTAAGTTGGTTCACAGTGCTGTCTCCTGGTCTAAAACCGGACTGAAAATCATTAAGGAATCTAATGTCTAATAAAAATTCATATAGTCTAATGAATACAATTTTTTCTGGTATTTTGGATATAGACGGTAAAAGTGATATGGGACGATAGTTCTTTTTATATTGATGATCATCTTTTTTATAGACAGGAGTTACATTTGCTTTTTTCCATTCAGTTGGATACTCTCCTATTCGGAGACTTGTGTTAATTAAATATGTAAATGTTTTGGCAATTCCGCGGCTACATAATTTAATAATTCTATTGCCAATACCATCATGACCGCTAGCTTTTGTAATATCAACTTTATAGAGGAGATTAATCACTTCTTCTTCTGTTGTTTGAACTATAGACAACGTTTTATCTGTGTGATTAGGATAATAATCTAAGACTGGTAGTTCATGATTTGTGTCATCGACGTTCGCTTCACTTACAAAATATTCATTAAATAAATCCGCTTTTTTTTGTGCATCGCAAACAATCTGAGATCCCTCCCGTATAACTGGAATTGATACACGGCAATTATTATTAAAAACTGACTTAACATAACTCCACCATTTTTTTTTTGGCCCAAACGAAAATCTGATAATTGGATATTTAGTTTATCATAATATTTTATTTTTGTTTCTCGAATCAGAGTTGTCGTGTAATTCCTTTGATCTTTATATTTCTTCCACAATAAACGAGTTTTTTTCTTAGAAAATTGCTTTAAAATTCTATTTCTTTTACGAATTGCACTTCTTACAGCGCATGTCATCCATGGTTTATCGTTAGGACGTATTACAACTATTCTATTTGGAATATGCTTTTTAACTGTTGAGTAAAAATAGTCAAACCAATTTTTATAAACATCGTCAATCCGGTTATTTTCTCTTTCACAATTTTCCCAATTAAGATTTGAAAGTTCCTCATTAAGCTGTGCTATATTGATATTGGAGAAATCCCAAATGTGTCGTTTAAAGGACTTTTGCTTATAGTACGGAATTTTCATTTTTGTATAGATGTAGGAGTGATCACAATTCGATGGTGGACTACATGTACCCGAATCAGAAAAATATCGTGGACAATTAGTAATAACAACATCTAATATTGTAGATGTAGTTTCTGTTATACGGGTCGGCTCTCTGATTATTTGATACAGTGCATTGCACTGGAGCCAATGGTTAAAGTGATTACCAAAACCAGTGCTTGATAAATTATTACAATCATAGTGAGCGTTTAAGTCACCGATTATCATTATAAACGTGTGTGGGTTTTGACGTATTTTGTCTATAATACTTTGTAAGGAATCCAAAAAAATTGATACATCTTGCAAAGAGTTATTTGGCGCTCTATAACAAACTCCACATAGTAAGGTTTGTTTATGTACTTTTACTTCAACCCAAAGTAATTCTAGATTGTTATTTTCTAAATCGTTACGTCTCTTAAATGCTAATGACTGTGTAATGTATAATGCAACACCACCACCCCGTGTATTTAGTCTATCTTTCCTTACAATAGCATGAAAACCGGGTATACACAGATCATCATTCGAAATTTGGCTGTTTAGCCATGTTTCAGTGATCGCAAACAATTCAAAATTTTTTTGCAAGATAAAAGAAGAAATTTCCTCAAATTTTTCTTCATTCACTAGACTTCTGGCATTGATATGACCAATGTTAAGACATGTCATCATTGGACCAGGATTTAGTTCAACATCACCTGCCATTATTAACCGAACCATTAAGTAGTTAGAAATCAGAATGTAAATGTTGAGTCCAGAAGTAGTTATCAATACTATTGATATGCTGAATCTAGCACGGTTAAATTTTCTGTTATAAGATGTTCCGATTGCTGCTCTGTGAACCGTTAGACTAAATGCCATAGACACGAACACTTTGTACCCTGCACGGCTGCTGCAAAACATTGTTTAATTTGCCTTTTGAAAGTGCTGTAGAAATTTATATCTATAAATTTTGTTTCTAATGAATTCCATACGTCAACTCCTTTATTTGAGAGAGAGTGTTCTACATAATTTGTTCTTTTATAACATTTGTGAAGTTTTGATGCATTTCTCGTGTTATATTGATGAATTTGGTTGTTTGTCACAAAATAATATTTAAAAAATTCTGGTAAATTATTAAGATGGTATCGAAACATAAATAAAGCAGTTAAATAGTTGTTGATTTTGAAGATGTTGAGGATATTTAAATTTTTGAAAATTGTCTCACTGTGATCAAAGTAAAATTTGAATGCCATTAATCGCACTATTTTTTTTTGTATATTCATTATTTTTTTAATTCTGTTTTTGTAAGTATTACCCCATGTTAGGTTGCCGTAAATCAAGTATGGATAGACTAATGCATAGTATATCAGTTTTACAGTATTTCGGTTCACGAAATGTCGTATTTTAGCTATTATATTTATACCAGCAGCTCTAATTAATTTGTTTGCTACCTTAGCTATATGATCTTTTCAGGTCAAACATTCGTCAATGACAATACCAAGGAATACTGTATTTTTAACTTGTTCAATATTATTACCATTAATGTTAATTTTAATGTCTTGCTTTGATTTCCCCCAAAGGATTAATATTTGATGTTATATGCATGTAGGATACAGACCAAATATAAATTGAACGGTTGCAAAAATTCTTATAAATTCCATTCACATTTCATACTTCGTCTTTCGATACGATTTACATAGTTTCGGCGTGGTTTGACCATCTGTAATTCGTTAAATTCCGGCCATCCGTTGTAAGTGCAAAATAATCAATGTTTCATTCATATTTGTTTCAATTTGCAACATAAAAATGATATTCTCGATCGATATTTTTTCGAATTGTGTCTGAATATAAAAAGATCGTATCCTATGGCAGTAGGGGTAACACAGCTTTTGACATTTTGTAGTAGTTTTGATATGAACAATTAATCCCATGGGGGTGGGGGTAACATAGCCGGTCCACAAGGGTTACATAGCTGGTCCAAAGTCTTCGGGATTTGGCAGGCATCGCCACTATTAATTTTTTTGCCTGCAGGAAATTTTGCCCGATAATCGAAAGGCGATGCCTGCGGAGGAGGCTAGGCTGAAACATTTTTAGAACATACCTACTGAGTTTGAGTTTGTCTTGATCTTTCATGTTTTGTTTTGTTGCACAACAACGTTGAAAAAGTATTTTTAAACCACGCCAATTTCAGAATTACTTCTTTTCCTAAAAACCCACTAGAAATCTGGAATGCGTTAGTTTCTCCTTTACAAAACGTTTTTTCTTGAGTCTCGATATAAAATTTTTTTGCAAACTTCGTTGAAAAAAACAATCCCACTCCCTGCAACCGCGCGAAATTCCAAGCCGCAGGAGTCTGGAACTAGCCCTTATAAATCCCCATTGTGTGGAGACAAATTAGAAAAGATAGGAGTACGCATTCTATAACTATTATCAGTTTCAAAAAAAATTTGGATTAGTGTCAAATAAATATTAGATTAGGGTTAGATTAGGGTTAGCGGTTAGGGGTAAGGGTAGGGGTTAGGGTAGGGGTTAGGGGGAAGGGTACTAGGGGTTAGTGCTCAACATGTGTCGCGAATTTATCATACTGATAAATTCGGACGTGATTAACAATTTACTCATATAGTAAATTCAAAGGTGGAGCTCATGCTGTTTATTATTGACCACTCAATAATTGTTTCATTGTTGACCGGTTACCCCCTCGCCAAAGCATGCAGTGAACATGACGTTTTGTGGACCGGCGCGTGATACGGTTTTGTCCAATCGGCAAACAGGAAATTTGAACTGTCTGGAGGGCCTGTGCTTGAAATATTTGCAGCTGCTCCCAGTAAGGTCTAAAAGTTTATATAACTTTCACTCTAATTAAAATAAAACAACAAAAACATTGGCATTTTCATTGGATCTAATGGACAAGCAAATAATCAACTGATTAACAGAAATTTCCCTTCTACTTCAACATACTTCAACATTCACGTGTCTTAAAAAAGCAATTTCACGGAAAACTAGATTCTCATAAAATAATATAATAATAGGTTTATTAAGAGTTTGTCTAGTGCATGGTACAGTATTTACGATTTAAGTTCTCTCACTTCTCTACCTGTCAGTTAAAAACTACAACGTAACTTACAAGTTTGAATGACGAGTGTGTACGACGACCTCCGAAAGGCCTCCGAAGTTTTTACTCTTGTGCAATCGAGTGAGATCACACAAATTGATTATTGCGTATCATGTCTATTATGACTATTATAAAATAGATCGAAATAAACAAAGCAAAATCAAAGGTTCACGAACCAGGCATCCTTAATTCTCATTTCACGGAGCATTTTATCGACAACACGCCTCACGGCTGTAGAACAAATCACATTTCCCTTTCCCACCCTCTAGAAATGTTGTACAATAAATTATTTTACAGTTTTACATGTTCTTTCTGCCTAAAATGCAGACTTGCAGATTTCGTTGCCGTCACAGTTAAATCTGCTCTTTTCTTGGCCATAGTGCCCACGGGCAAATACCGATTAAACTACCGCGAACTATGTAGTGAATTGTATTTCTATTTCCCGTAATTTGGAGATAAGAGTCGCTATTAAGGCCTGATTCCACGGGCGCTTTTTCTTGGCGAAATGCGAAATATTTTGCCTGTTTCTTTTGAATTATGATCAGTCAAGTAGAAATAATTTATTCGAGTAGTCGCAATTCAAAAGAAACAGGCGAAATATTTCGCATTTCGCCGAGATCAAGCGCTCGTGGAATCAGGCCTTTACGCATTTTGTGTTTTTTTTTTCAATAGTTAGTGTTTTGTTTATCTTGATACCATTGTATTAAACTACAAAGAGATCCTCGACCTTGTAGGTTTGCATTGTAAAAATAAATGCTTTGTTGAAACATTTGATACTTTGCCTTCGTTTTGGTGAGGCTTTCGACCCAAGTCCGGTTTTCAATGGTGCAAAATAATTATAATTATATATACTGAAGATCCATGCGCCTATATACGGATCGAAAGCAAGTATTATGGATCGAAAGCAAGTATTACAAAATAAATGTGATGTTTTCACAAATACCAAACAATTATATTTCCGGCATGCAATCAAAGACTGCAGAACTAGCCTGCGAACAGGCTCACTGAGAGAAAGGTGAGCCTGCACGGAACCATGCGTTTTACTCATTATCAGCGTCGACTGGGATAATAAACAAAGCTGTCAACTGTCAAATTGACGCAGGGCGTTGGTTGTACAACGAAGAAATGTATAAAACAAGTGTAACTTCGAAGATCGATAGCATTTTTATATTTATCAACGTTTCGACTATATTTCAGTCATCATCAGGATAAAGAAATGTATATAACAATAATACGAAGCATTAGCAAGCCGCACAAGGCATATTAAATATATAATAGCATAGTTGCCCGGGTTTCTTTTGTTTCAACAGGGACGTTTAATCACGTATCGCCCGCTGTAGCGGGCGATTAGTTCTAATCGCCCGCTAGAGCGGGCGATTAGAACTAATCGCCCGTTACCAAGGGTCACACCTTTGTCTCCCTGACGAATACGCATTAGGCAAGTGCCTCACGCACATAATCGTGCAAGGAACAGCAACAGTTAGCTCAGAGCCGTCAATAGTCTATCATCCGATCCCTGAGTTGCCGCAACATTTAAATTACGCACGTGCAGTCTCCAAATTTATACTAATATATTTAGCGTGTTTGTTGTGGTACGTTAAATGATAGATTGCGCATGCGTAACCGATTAAAGCGTAAAAAGTGCGCATGTGCAACAAGCTTTTACATTCCACAAGCAATGAAGCAAATGTTTTAGCTTAAATACGCTGATTCCAAGTAGGGCATGTTTGTCCATTTTTAAATGGGAGCGAAACTATGCTATTACAAACTAATAGCATGGCTTTTCGGGAGATTAGTGATTAAATGACACCTTACCCTCGGCAGGTTTGCGGAATTCCCTCGGGCTTCGCCCTCGGGAATTCCGCAAACCTGCCTCGGGTTACGGGGCCATTTAATCACTAATCTCCCTCAAGCCATGCTATTACTTATAATAATTCTCCTGATAATACATTTAAGAGTTAATTAATACACATACAAATAGGACCATTGAATGTAATAATACTTGCTCTATTTATGACTGAAAGAACAAAGTTCTGAATATTTGAAGCTATATTAATTAAAATGCGGTCAGATATATTGGGATTTGAAACATGCCTAAATGAGCATATATGCATTTACTTAACATCGCTAGCTTGCCTAAACACTATGAAGAACTACTTATTTATATGCGTGATGAACCTTTCGATATATTGACCTTAAATGAAACTAGATTAGACAGTACTTTCCTAGACTGTGAAGTACAGGGTACCTGGTTATGATATTGTCAGATCTGACCGAAACAGACATGGGGGAGGGGTAGCTATATATATAAGGACTATCATTCCATATATCGTACGTGAAGATTTATTACAAGATACTCTCGAATTGCTTTGTATTGAAGTTAGAAAACCCAAAAGTAAACCAGTGCTTATTTCAACTTGGTATCGACCACCGAGTGCAAAAATTGAATTATTCCAAAAGTTCGAAAACTTCTTGAAGCAGATTGATAATGAAGACAAAGATATTATCATAACCGGGGATCTTAATTGTAATTTTATTGAGCACACTCAAAACCAAGCTACTTCTAAGTTAATTGATATTATTGATATTTTCCAACTGCAGCAACACATACAAACCCCTACTAGAACTACTTATAATTCTTGGTCTCTGATTGATTTAATTCTTACACATATCGACGATGATAAAACCTTAGAAGCCGGGGTTGTTGACCTTGGGATTAGTGACCATAGTCTTGTTTATATATGTCGGAAAATTAGCATTCCTAAAGAGCCACCAAAAATTGTATTTACACGACAGTTCAAAAATTACAACTCCCACCAATTTAAAGAAGAGCTAAGCTACTATACTAATCTGGATCCCACATCGAATGATCCAAATGTGCTATGGAATGAATTTAAGAACAACTTTCTTACTATTGCTGAAAAACACGCGCCAGTTAGACAGCGTCGCGTTAAGAGTGAGCATAAACCATGGCTGACGAAAGAAATAAAGCGTTTAATGCATCATAGGGATTATCTTAAAAGACAGAGTGTTCGTTTAACATCGAGTAATCATAACGAGGCCTACAAAAGATGCAAGAATAAATTAAATAAGCTTATTAAAAAGACTAAGGAAGAATACTTTAAAACGAAGTTATCTAATGCAAATAATAGCAAAGAGAGTTGGCAGGCTATTAATGAGCTATTAAACAAAAAGCCCAAAACTACCCATGTAACACAGCTAAATGTAGATGACCAAGTTATAACTGGAGACACAAATATTGCGGACTGTTTTAATCAGTATTTTTCATCCATCGGTTGTAAACTGTCGAAAAATGTCCAAAATATTAATGTTGACCCTATGACATTTGTCACTCCTACGGAAAGTTCGTTTCATTTTTCATGTATTTCAGTCCAAGAGACTTTTGACGCCTTAAACCAACTTAATTCAAGGAAATCACCAGGACTGGACGGCATAAGTGTAAAACTATTAAAAGATACAAGCGATGTTATCGCGCAACCATTAGCCAACATCTTTAATCTATCTCTTCAGACTGCAATTTTTCCGGACGAGTGGAAAATCGCCAAGGTATCACCAGTCTTTAAAGAAGGGAATAAAACTGATTGCGGAAATTATAGACCAATCTCTGTAATTTCTGTGGTTGCTAAGCTGTTTGAAGGGCTAGTGTACAATCAATTGAGAACGTTTATTGCCGACAATAGCATTCTTGTAGAGCAACAGTCCGGTTT